GGTATTTATATGGAGGTGGCAGCGAGGTGGCTGTGTGGATTGAGTGCTGGCCCTGGAACCAAGAGGATCTGAATTCAAACCAGACCTCAGACACTAGCTTCGTGACCCTGGGCAAGTCACTTACCCCTGTGTACCTTAGTTTCCTTGTCTGTAAAATAAGCTGGAGAAGGAAAATGGCAAACCACTCCACTATCTTTGCCAAGAAAACCTGAAGATCAGATACATACAATAGACCAAAAGAAAAAAATCTGGAATCCTACATATTACAGGGGAAAGAGCACTGAACTTGAGTTAAAATTCTGGCTTTGCCATTTACCATCTATGAGCAAGACACTTAGTCTTTCACCTGAGTTTCAGTTTCTTCATCTGTAAAATGAAGGGTTTTAGACAGGATTACCTGTAAATTTCCTTCCAACTGTAGATGTCTGATCCTATGCTATGCCTCCTGTGCTCAATGTCCTTCTAATCTTTACAGGCATTGCTGCCATATGATGCCAGGATTTGTGGTCTTTAGACTCTGCCCAAATGTAAAAGGAAGCCCTTTAATGCTTTCCAGAAGGCAACTCATTTTTCCTGACTCAGGAGCTTGCCAGTCGTGAAGTAATTTGGTGGCATAACTTTTACTGGCATTTCTTCCCTGGAGAGCATGGGTCTTTTCTTGAGAAAAACTCGAGGCTTGATTTCCCTCTGAAATAGATGATCTAAACCCAACACTATCAGTGAGAGAAGCTTCTTTTGCCATTTTAATTATGCTTTTCAGCTTGTCCAGAGGCAGAACTTTTCTATCCATTTAAAAAAAACAAAACAACACAACTTTTAAAATTGCTGCTTCTCTTTCAGATTGGAGTCAAGTGATCAGTTTTTAGGTACTATCTTCTGAAGTCAGGAATTTCTGAGTGATCACTTGTTTGATAATTCACACAAAAACAGGTTGAGATGTTCCCAGTTAGAACTGGTTCTTGATCTCTGTGCATCTGTATAAGTCATTCAGAGCTCTTTTTGGTGTTTTAATACTATCCTTATTTTTATACTCAGGATTTATTGTTAGGTATAAAAGACCTCTGCAGTTCTATATCCATTGCTTCACATCACTTTCCCAAAATTTTAGCTTCCATTTTGTTCTAATTTCACTTAAAATGTTATTCAGGAAATCAATAATGCAAAAGCAAAGAACCAAGTAGTCAACTGGATATTTGAGTTTGAATGACAATAACTTAACAGCATGTACCAAAAAAATAGCATGCATAGACAATAGCATAGATGAGCAATAAGAATGAATTCGTTGTCACATGCAAATAAGCAAAGATGTTGTCAATAGTACATAATTCCAAGTAGGGCTGATGGCCCACAGTGTAATTTTACTGTAGGCAATAGGCATAATGCATTCATAATCAATAACATTCACAAGCAATGCCTTTAGGATCCTGGGAAATACAGTGGGTCAATTATAAGAGAGAAAACTCCCATGTGTGAAAATGAAATTTTAAAAAATATCATAATCTAGATCATAAAGAAACAATTCCGGTAAAGAAACAAGAAAATGTTCCAAAATCATACTCCAGTGGCTTTCTATTGCCTCTAGGATAAAATAGGAACTATTTTTCACTTTTAAAGCTCTATACAACTTGTCTTGAACCTATGTTCCCCATACTCTACTTCCCATGCTCTGAAATCCAACCAAACTGGTCTTTTCCTTGTTCCTCATATAGGGTACTCTATCTCCCTTTTTTTCTGTCTTTGCATTGGTTACCTCATATGCCTAGAATGGACTTCCTTCTTACCTCTGCCTCAGAGAGGCCCTGTTTTTCCATTAAGTCCCAGCTCAAGCTTATCTTCTGCGTGATGCCTTGGCTAACACATTCTCTCCCCACTCCCCAACTTCTCTCCCTCCCACATTATTTTATATTTAACTACTTTAAGCATATTTGTATTTATTCACTTTATACTTACGATGTATATATTTTTATATGTACTTGTCTCTCCCACTCATATGTAAGATCTTGCATTTAGAATTATTTCATTTTTTGTATTTGTATCACTAGCACCCAGCATAATTCTTAGCATATAATAAATACTTGTTGACTTGTTGATGGAAAGAAATGCAAGCAAAAACAACACAAAATAAAATTCATTTAGAAAGAAAATATCCATCAGCTCAGAAACTTTTAAGAAAAGGTTTTTAAATTCACAGAACTTATATCCCTACATTTGATGCCTACAACACCGGGGCAGGGAATTTAGATCTTCAAAAACAAAAATAATCAAATAAACAATCCCAGACCAGGCCCCATTTGACAACTTATGGTTCTCTTCTGTGATGTTTTCATAAGCCTACTTTAAGTCAGTATCATTGTTTTATTTATCCAGAAAGGAGGTGTAATACCTGAGTGGAGCACCAAAAAGAGCTTTACTTGAGCTACCAGCTCAATGCCTACTGGGCACCAGAGGCTATTCAGCCTACAGATACCCAGACTTTTCTCTTATATTGCCAAGACTGAAGTTTCAGTTCTTTGTAGAGGACCTAGCCTATGCTTCAGCTAAAGTCTGTGACTAATATTAAATAAAAACTGTACTCTTCTGAACACATTATCCATTTAGGATACATGGACCAATGTAACTGAATTTTGTTGTGTGCAATATCTCAATAGCTATGAAGTTAACTTCTTGTAAAGCATATTGAAGGAAGACAGTTTCTAAAAGAGGGGGAAAACTGTACATGTGTCATGTATTAGAACTAATATATTTTATTTTCTCCCTGATGATTATCTTGGTGCGGAAACTCCCTTCACCAAAGCAGGTGGACAACTCTTTTGTAACTTTCAGTTTCAGAAGAACCCTGAGAGGTTATATGATTCGCCCATGGTCACATTTCTGCATTTTAAGTCTATCGCTATTTCTGCTATACCATGTTGCCTCCCAATGCAAATAATATCATCTCCATTTTGCAAATAAGGAACTGAACAACAAGGAAGTTATGTGACTGTCCCAGAGTCACAAAGCTAAGAATTATCAGGGTCAGGATTTGAATCTATATCATCAGACTTCAAGACTGGTGCTTTCAATGCTATACTAGTCAGACTATCACTTTGCAAAGAAAGAAGATAAATTTAGAAATGTGGGGCTACGAGAATCTTTTTACAGTAGAGAAATAGACCTCTTTTCTTTGATTCTGCCTTTTACCTTCTATACTTTTACCTTTTGGGGACTTCATTTTCTGAATCTTACATTGGGAAGAAGTGTACAAAGCAGCATAGTGGTAGTTGATGGGCATAGTATCCAGGAACTCTACAAGCCAATCTATGCTGATGGCTGCTACATTTAATTTATTTGTTTTTCTGCTTGATAACATTAGTGATTCTGATTTCATTTTTTGTTTTGGGTTTTTGTTTGACTTATTTTTTACTCACGTAACATTGGTGAAGGATCTAGGAATGTGATATAAAGGTGGAATAAGCACTTATTTTGTGCGTTCTTTGGTAGTGTTTTTGGTAATATTAAGGATTTGTTACAAAATTATTTATTTCAGTCAAATCTGTGATCTATTTGCATGATATTCCAAACATAATTCTGAATTAAAAATATAACATCCTAATTACATTCCTAACTAGATGTGGTATGTTTGTTTTTGTGTTTTATGCTATATTTTAACACTTTGTGTTACTTAGGCTATATTTTGCTTTGATCAGAAAATGGCTCAGATAGCAGTCTCACTCAGTGTACAAATTATAAATAAAAAGTGTATGGTAAAATAAAATTCCCTGATGTTACCTAGAACAATCACTTCACAGACATTTCATGTCACTTACATGCCCTTCAAGGTGCAAATAGAGTCTCATTTGTCTAGGTCTTTTCTTACTTCTGAATTTCAACAAAGCAGAACTAGGTAAAATAAGGAAGAGGGATCTTATCACCTTCACCACAAAAGCCATCTCCCTCCCCCTTACTTTTGCCGCGCTCGTGACTACCAACACCAGTACAACATCACCATTACCCAGTCACTATCAGCATTTCCATATCCTCATAACCATCATCATTTCCACTGTTGTGATCACCATCCTCAGTATATCACCATCACTCATTCACTGTCATCATCTCCTTCATCATCACCATATCCCCATCCTCATCCCCATTCCCATTATGCATCGCTATCACCTGCATCTTCACTTTCATCACCGTTATTACCTAAAAGCCTTCATTAAGCTCCTAATTGTACACAGTGTTGTGCTGGATTCACAAATATGCTACATATACAAAGGTAATTACACAGATAGGGCCTCCGATCTCTAAGGACTCGCAAGCCAAAACAGATTTTCTTGGCTTTTTTGTCTGGATCTATTCTTTGTCCCTGTCGCTCTCTACTTTGCATTATACTTTTTTGTGGTCATGTTGCATTCTTCCTAATAGACTAGAAGTTCCTGGAAGGCATGTTGGGTCTTATTTTTCATCTGTATTCCCAGTATCTAGCACAATCCCTTGCATATAGTGATCAATCAACAAAAGTTGAATTGAATGCAAACATTATATGAATTGCTAGGTGAACACTGAACTATTTATGTCATCATTAGGCTAGCTAGAGTGACCTTTTAGGGTTGAAGATGAATGGTTAAGGTATATTTTCAGGAGTAGAAAGGGAAAAGTAGTTATAGGAGGCCCATTATCTAGGTAAGACTCCATCAGTTCTTCTCCGTTCAGTCCATCCAGGGTTCCTGGGGAAGGTGGGATTACAGTAGCTCGAGTGAGGTGAGAGAGACAATTTAAATGATCAAGGTTTTGGGAAGAGGAGGGGTGGGGTGTTGTAGGCTTTTAAAACATCTCTTCCATTGAGAATGTCTCTTATATGCTTTTGGAAAATAATGACTGGGGATACAGAATAAGGACTAGGAGAAAAAGCTCAGGGAAATGGGCTGGGGGACAGGGGGAAGGAAGAACTTGAGGGTTGGACTTTGTTTTCTTCAACCTCATCTTTTGCTTCTGTTTAACACCAGGCCCTTTGCTTCCAGGTCAGCAGTGCACCCTCCCAACCCCCTCAGCCTGTTGTGGCACCCAAGCCTGCACAGTGTGTCCACCATGTATCCACCCAGCCCAGCTGCCCTGGACGAGGAAAGATGTCTAAACTGCTGAACCCAGAGGAGATGACCTCAAGGGATTACTACTTTGATTCCTATGCTCACTTTGGGATTCATGAGGTAAAAGCACCCTTGCCTCCACAAGTGTGGAGAGGTTTCAGTGACTTGGAGTGAATGAAATCACAGAATGTTAGAATGGTTAGGGAACTTAGAAATCATTTTAGAGATGAGGAGATTGAGGCTTAGAAGGGGAAAAATGACACAGTGAGTGTTGGCTCTAGGGCTAGCACTGGAACCTGGGTCTCCTGACTCCCACTCCAAAGCTCATGAATGTCAATGAGTTTTGCATTTTTACCTCAGTGTTCTAAAACTGGAATGGGCTGCTTCTTTACTGCAGTCAATTCACAGCCTGGAATAACAACCTGGTGGGAATCTTGTAAAGGGGATTCTGATTTAAGAATGGATTGGGTTACATGATTTCTCAGGTCCCCTGAGATTCCATGATTTTAGGCAAATTGTTTTCTGATTCAACATAATAGAGCTGACACTCAATCTTCCATGATTGGATTATTGATCTGGAAACCAGTTGGGTTTCAGGTGATATACAAAAGGCCAGGGTAGGAAGGAATAATGGAAAGGCATAGAAATGGTCATTCTATGACTGCGCTTGTGAATGTGTATGTTTGTGATATTCCATGGATGCGGATAACTGATTATGCAATTCAAAGCCAAAGAGAAAAGATTTTTGCATTACTTTGTATTCCACCAACTATCTCTTATCCCCAAATGCACAGATAATCCAGAACTATTTGTTATAGACGCTCACAGTGTTTTGTAGATGAAAGTTGTAAGACCAGAAGCAACTCATCAAAGACATCGTATATACCCTCTATCTCTCAGGATTGTACTTTTCTATTGGAAAAAGACTAGTCTGTCTCCTCTTCTTAAAAAAGTATTCAGGGAATGAGATTGAACAACAGCGATAATTCAAGGATCTGTGATATATTACCAACGTAGGCTCTCTTTGCTCACACAGATCGCAGCTTCTAAATGGCCTTCATGAGCTTCCATGTCTGAAAAATTTATCATCCTATATCCAAGCTGGTCATGAGCCTCCCTAGACTTAACAAGACTGGTCCTCAGATGACATTACCAGGGCTGTACCTGGATTGAGGTGTTCCAAACCTGTAAGACTTGCCAGGGCTTGTACTTTGCTAGCAATGCTTTCAAGAATGCAAAGTCACCCCTAGGTCTTAGTAGGGCATAATACTTCAATGGATTTGTTATGTCTTTGATATGATTATTCTCTCCCTTGCTGTAGCTCACAAACTCTCTACACCTTTTTAACCTGTGTGATACTTGACTGTGTTATTCCGTAGGATTGTAAAATCATAGACTTAGAGATAGGAGGTCCATGAGAGGTCAGCTGGCTTGACTCCCTCATTGAAAGATGAAGGCCTAGAGATCTTAAGCAATTTGCCCAAGGACACGTGGGTAGTAAATGGCAAAGCAAGAATTCAAACCTAGGTCATCAGATGCCAAACTCAGCATTCTTTCCAGTGCACCAAATCTTTCAGAGAAGATTGACCCAACATTCTGAAGACTTTCTTCTGGGTCTTTTTTTCCATTTAGTGGATACTAGTGCAACATTTAGGCCAATAGGAAACATATAAGATTATGGAGTTATGTATTTGGAGCTGGAAGGAAAGTAGACAGAGTCTAAATTTGTGAAAGTGAACACACACAGGGACACATATGGCCAGGGACATCCTATGCTTCCAATATTTACAAGACTACCAATGTCATCTAGTAATGTCATCAAATGAGGTGCTGTTCCCATGAAGCTGTGCTTGTCTTCGCTGTTCTTGTTTCTTTGCCACATTGCTCTGTCTTGGATTTCTCTTCAATGCCCTCTGTTGTCTTCAGGTAGTCATCTCTTATGGTGCAGGGTTTGGCAGCTCTTTAGCGTAAAGTGTAGGAACTATTATTCTTCATTTGTGATATAAAAATCAGTCAGGCCCACTCATCTAGCTAGAAAAATGAAAGGCTTAGAAATTTTCAAGTCTGTCCTTTTAATATTTTGTGTACTCTGTTGTCATGTAAGTCTTTCAGTCTTATCTGAGATATAGTCAGAAAATTCCTTTAAATTCCCATTTTCCATGATATAGTAAATTATTTGCAGGGGCATTGCCTGGCAAAACTAGAAAGAAACTGGGAGACATTATGGAGAACAGACACATAATGTCCATCATGTCCCATGCAGATCATAAGGCTTGGCTTGAATAAAGAATTCTGCAAGGGCTGGTGATTTTTGCCCTGCTCCCCCCATAAAAAACAAAACAAAACAAAACACTGCCTTTCTGCAATCCCTTTTGAGTAAAAATTTGTAGACTTGGCAAACCAAATCAGTGCATAAGTACTTCTTTAGGTACACACCCTAAACAGCAATTATACCAAATAGTGAGGAAAAGTATTGATCCAAGCAAAATAACAAACCGAAATTGGAGAGGTTATATGGGTCAGACTAAACCAGAAAATACACAGAGCAAATGAACTCTTTACATGACAGTTACAGAAATTCTCAGCTTAACCAAGAGAGAGGCCTCCGTCTCACTGAAGGGGAAATTCTTCAAGTCTCTGGGGAAGCAAATCAGAAATCATAGACATGACTCTTCAACAGAGCCAGCTTCTACATGTTTGTAACTTCCAAAATCTGTCTCCTTCTCTTCATGTGTCTGGAATTGGTCCCAAAGAGAGTCTGGGACCATGTGTGTCCTCTAAAAGAAAGAATAAAAAGAATGTCTTGCTATCCCACCAACTCCATTCCTCACAAGGCACATGGTGTCAGCAGTCTCTCCAGCAGTCCTGAGTTGTCTAAGCAACGACAAACAAAATGCCTGAGACTTAGCTGGAAACCCGGAATACATTTGTATGTAGCAAAAACAGAAAAGAGCTAGTGCATATAATAATAATAATAATAATAATAATAGTTCATATTTACATAATGTTTTAAGGCTTTCAAAATACTATAGCATCATGTGTGATACTTCTATACAAAGTATACTATATAGGGACTGCATAAAAGAGGACTCTATTATTCCCCTTCTCCCTGTCTTGCCACATGACCATCTCACCCCATTTCTCAATCATACACTTCCTCTATGTCTATGTCTATATACTCTATGTCCACTATTTAATGTTTAATTAACTGTCCCCAATGCACATCTCTACATTGTCCATTGGGTCATTCATTACCTTTAATCTTCAGAAATTGTGGTGTTTCAAGATTCACAACCATAGAGCATCTCAAGGAGATTATGTTAAAAATACAGGCTTTTGTGCCCGGGAGCAGCTTGGAATCATTAAAAGTGCTGTGTAGCGTCCCAAATATAATCCAACCCACTCTCTTCTTCCTATTCAGTTCAGTGCTTAACTCATTGTCCATCTATAGTGCCTGCTTAAAATATATGTACTGAAGTACTAACTCAACAGATTGACTAGCCAACTGCATGGAATAAATAGTCTGGAAAATGGACATTTTTCATCCATTTAAGTTTTCTTGTACAGTCCTAGTGACAGGATGAGTCTGCTGTTCTCTAGCAGGTTGGTCACTAAGTAATGGATTCTTTGGACATGAGAGAGTATGGGACCAAGTGGTGCAAGTGGACGGTTTCACTTCTTTAAAAATTTAAATAATCCCCAATTACATATTACAAGATTTTGAAAAATATGAAACATTTCACAAATTTGCGTGTCATCCCTGCTCAGGGGTCATGCTAATCTTCTCTGTATTGTTCCAATTTTAGTATATGTGCTACCCAAGCAAGCACAGAGGGCTTAACGTTAACAAGGTTAGTCAGTCTCCTGAGATTGGGGCAAAGGAAAAGATTTTGGTTGAGGACATAGAAATGTTTTGCAACGTAGAGAATGGGAGTTGATGGAGCTCACAAGGATGGCTTCAGTCTTTACAGTCAAGTAGAAGGTAATGTCTGCTGAGAGAAGATTGGGTAGGAATGAAGTTGAAGTGTTAAGGAGAGCAGAGATTTTGAAGAGTCACTTTGAAAATGAGTAGATGAGAGATAAAGAAAAGGCTGTCTGTATCTCAGTGAAGGCCCAGTCCAGAACAGGTAGCATTAGGTTGTAGGGTACAGTACATCACAGTTTCATGAATCCTTCCAGCAGCAACCAGCGGTTTGGAACTAGAATTGGAGAGGCTGTATGTTATGGTGATTGAAGATTGGAATTAGCAGGGAAAGAGCAGCAGAAGGACAAAAAAGCTTAAAGTTAGTGAAAAATAACTTTGCTGAGAGAGCTAAGAACAGGATCAAGACTATGGAAGGAAAAAAAGTGAGGTCAGAACAGTGGTGATGACCTGGAAGAAGAGAGAGGGATTGAAGAACTGGAAGTTTCAGGGAGGACAAAGAGAAGGTTGAGGAGGAATGATGCCATCAATAATCATTTACTAAGCACCTACTATGTGCCAGGCTTTATGCTACAACAAAAAATGGAACCACCCCTTCTGTCAAGGACCTTATAGTCTATCTGGGGAGACAAGTACATATTTGAATATGTACCAAAGAATAAATACAAATGAATATGACTTAATTAAATACAGGGTAGTTAGGGTTTGAGGGCATTAGTAACTGGGAGATCAGGAAAGCTTCATTTAGGGGGCATCATGAGCTGCATCATGAAGGAAGAGAGAGGCAGAGGTGAGGAGAGAGTGCATTCCAGGCATGGGGAACAACCAGTGTAAAGATTCAAAGGCAGGAAATGGAGTTCCTCACGTTGGAAAGAGAGAAGGTCATTTTGTCTGGATCACAGAGTCTAGGAGGGAGAATAACATGTAACAGAGTTGGAAAGGCAGGTTGGGGCCAGACTGTGAAAGGTTTTATAAGTTAAACAGAGTAGTTCACATTATATCCTAGAGGAAACAGGGAACCACAGGAGTTTGTGGAATGGAGAAGTGATAAGCTCCAATGTGCGCTTAAAAAAATAACTTTACAAGCTGAGTTGGGGATAAATTGGATTGGAGAGAGATTTGAGTCAGAGAGATCACTTAGGAAGCCATTGTCATAATCTGGATGAGAGGTGATAAGGACCTGAATGAAGGGGGGTAG